CCGGCGCCTCCCGCGCCTGCTCGTGCCGCCGCAGGCTGGCCGCCTCGCGCGCCCGCAGCTCCGCCACCTCCTCCGTGGCCTGGTAGAGCAGCTGTTTCAGCTTCGCCATCTCCTGGCTCTTGGCGCCCATGGTGGCCTGCACGGCGCGCAGCTCCGCCTCCAGCGCCCCCAGGTCCCGCTCCAGGGCGGCCACCTGTGGGGACGCGGCCGGATCCCCGCGCGGGGACGTCGAGCCCCGCAGTCGCTGGTTCTCCTCCTCCAGCCGGGCCACCGCCCCCTGGGCCTGGCGGAGCCGGTCCACCAGGGCGCGGACGCACCCCTGGAGCTCCTCCAGGGCTTCGGCTTCCCCCCGGCGGCCCGCCAGGTCGGCGGGCAGACAGTCCCACAGCGCGCGGACGCCGCCGCTGTGCGAGGCCAGGCGCTGGCGCAGCTTCTCCGCGGCCTCCTTCTCCGCGGCCAGCTCGTCGGCCAGCAGCCCCACGCTGCGCCGCAGCTGCTGCAGCTGGACCTGCGCCTCGGGCCGGGGCACGAACTCCCTCTGGAGCCTCAGGCCCAGCGCCTGCAGCTCCCCCTGCAGCCGCTGCCGCTCGCGACCCAGCTCCCCCAACTCCTCCAGCAGGTGGCTGTTGCTCCTCCTCAGCGCCGACACCTCCTTCTCCAGCAGTCCCTTCGCCCCTCCGGGGCTCGGTTCCTTTCCTGGAGCCCCCTGAGGTTCTCCCCGGGCCCAGGGAACCCTTGGCTTTTCTTTAGGGGTTTCCTGGCCCTCTGGGCGGGCCTGTCCCTGGCCCTCGATCTCCGTTTTCCCCTGCAGTCCCGCCTTGGCTTGATCCAGCCTCACCAGCACGCGCTCTAAACGGGCCTCCATCTTCTCCCAGGCAGCGGCTGCAGCCTCAGCCCGGGGCGTCCCCAGGGCGCCCTCCAGGATGGGTCTGGAGAGAGCCCCTCTGGCCGTGTCCTTGTCTCTCCACACTGCAGCCAGCTCCTCTCTGAGCTGTAGCAGTAGCTGGTTCATGGCGGCTTTGCCTGCTGCTACTTCTTCCACCGGGCCTGCTGGTTCCACCCCCAGGGCCTGCGGCCTCTCCTGCTGGGAAGCACAGAGCTGGTCCTTGTGATCAGGGCCAAGGGTCTGCCTCCCATGGCTGGTCAGTGGCTGTCCTGTGTCCTTCCTTGGGATTTGGGATGGCCCCTCTTCCTCCCTGGACGTTCCATGGACTCCTCGCTGGATGTCTGCTGAGCCAGGCTCCTCCAGCTTTACTCCTCGCTGGATGTCTGCTGAGCCAGGCTCCTCCAGCTTAGGACCTAACGATGACTTCACTGTAGTCCTCTGCTGCTGCCTCTTCAGCTCTTGTATATGTTCCACCAGCAGATCCAGAGGACAGCCCTGCTCCATACCGTCCCCTCCAGGCCGGAAACTAGATCCCTGCTCTTCTGGAGCTCCAGGCTCTTGGACTAGGAGTCGCCCTAGCTCCTGTACCTGCTCTCGAATCTGGTTTTCCAGGCCCAAGTAAGCTGTAGCTTGAGCCTTACACTCTTCTGTCTTTAGTACCAACTCCCGCTCCAACTGAGACACTTTCTTCTGCTCCTCTTCATATTTTAGCCGCCACTCTGCTGAGCACTGGTCTTCCTCCTCCTCTTCCTCCTGCTCCTTCTCAGGCTCTGCTTTCCATGGGCTGGTGGGTGGAAAACCCACCTGGAGCTCAGATGGAGAGGCCTAGATCAAAACCACAACAGCCAAGTGAGGGCAGGAAGGAGGACCCCCAAGGACGACCCCAGTAAACCTGGGGAGGGTCAGAGACAAAAAGAGGGAGGTACCTGGGATGCAAGATCTGGATGTTGAACCAGCTTCTGACCTATAAAGAAAAGACATAGCAAATAAGAGAAAAGATAGGTCTGTGTGCTTTGATTGTACACCAATTGTTTGTGTATGTGTGTGCACATGTGCCAGTACTGGAGCTCAAACTCAGGGCCTCCTCTCTCTCTCTCTCTCTCTCTCTCTCTCTCTCTCTCTCTTTCTCTCTCTCTCTCTCATCAGTTGTGGGGCTTGAATTCAGAGCCTGGGTGCTGACCCTGAGCTCTTGCTCAAGGCTAGAGCTCTATCACTTTGAGCCACAGATCCACTTATGGTTTTTGAGTAGTTAATTAGCGATGAGAGTCTCATGGACTTTCCTGCTCAAGCTGGAATCAAACCATGATTCTCAGATCTCAGCCTCCTGAGTATCTAGGATTACAGGCACCAACACCCAGCTCTTACAGATTTTTTTATTTTTTTGGCCCGTCCTGGGGCTTGAACTCAGGGCCTGAGGACTGCTATTCCTGAACTTTCTTTTGCTCAAGGCTAACACTCTACCACTTGAGCCATAGCACCACTTCTGGCTTTTTCTGTGTATGTGGTACTGAGGAATTGAACCCAGGGCTTTATGCATGCTAAGCAAGTACTCTACCACTGAGCCACCTTCCCAGCCCCAGATTCTTTTTTTTTTAACAGATGTCATGCTTCTCCTTTGATAGAGCGTATGAAATGCTTGGATTTACCTCCTCGCCGCCGCCGGTTCAAGGCCTGCCTCAACAGCCCACATAAAGCCTTGTCTTGTGTTTGCAGAGCGTAATACAGAGCATTGTGGCCCAGGCTGTCCAACGCCCCTGCATCTGCTCCATGGCTCAGGAGAAGTTCCGCCACCTCTGCGCTGCCTTTCTCACAGGCCAGGATCAGAGCTGACCTGAGCGTAGAGATCAATGTGAGTATAGGCTTTCCCTCACAGAAGCCAGGAGTCCTGGCTCCAGAAATGCCATTCACAGAAGCAGCTCTCACTCAACAAGGTCAAGACAGTAAGTCTATCACCAATCAAAGACAGCATTACCACAGATCATGCTGGATGCTGGTGGTTCAGGCTTGTAATCCAAGGTATTCAGGAGGCTAAGATCTGAGGATCACCCTTAGAAGAGAGCCAGGCAGAAAAGTTGAGGAGACTCTTATCTCCAATAAACCAGCCAAAGGCTAGAAGTGATTGGTGGCTCATGCCTATAATCCTAGCTTCTTAAGAGGCTGAGATCTGAGGATCAGCAAAAAGCTGGAAGTAGAGCTGTGTCTCAAATGGTAGAGTACTAACTTTAGTGAGAGAACCAAGGGACAGCATCCAGGCCTTGCACAAGACTAGCACAAAAACAAGGGACAACTAAAAGAACTCCTACGATTAAGTTTCTGCATAAATTTGTTTTTTTAAGACAGAGTCTCTGTGTAGCCCAGGCTAGCTTTGAACTCAAATCTGACTCAGCCTCTCAGGGTTGGGATTACAAAACTGCACTACCACACCTGGCTTCTGCATAAATTTTTCATTGATAGGGGAAGAAAAAGAAAAGGATCCCAGAACTCAGTGATTTTTTCCTGGCACTCTTGCTTGGCTACACCAGGTTTTGCCTGTCTGGAGCAAGAAATACTATTATCCAAAACTTGTGCCCAATAAAATACCCTTTGTAATCCCTCTTCCCCAAAAGAGATGCCATTGTTTAGAAGACAGCTTGAAAACAAGGAAATTAAGCCAGTGATCCCGTGACAGGTCTGTTCCATCTCTGGGATGGTCTACCGGAAGCCATTCGTGGCAGCAGACCAGGTTCTTCTGAGTCATCCCTGGGCTGGCGGGAGGATCCCATGACAGAGACCGGTCTGCCCTCTTCTTATACACACACACACACACACACACACACACACAGTACCCTCTGTCTCCGTTGTGGGTCTGGACACAAGTGGGGGATGGGGTGGGATGTCTTACTTGTCATCTTTGTCCTTGACGTTGACTCGCGCGCCCCTCTGCAGCAGCTGGGAGCAGATCGCTGCATGGCCTCCCAGCGATGCGATCATCAGAGGTGTGCGGCCATCCTACACAGATCATGGGAGAAGGAGGGTCACTTGGAGCCAGAAAGAGCTAGGGACTTGGCACAATGCTACCAAGCCCCCTCCTGATTTCAAGAAAGAAAGAAAAAAAAGGAAAAGAAAGAAAAGAAAGAGAGAAAGAAAGAAGAAAAGGAAGCAAGCAAGCTCAGATCCTATAGGTAAGATTACAAGCTCTCTAAAAGACTAGGTTTAATTCTTCATGAGAAGGGGGGACAAAATACAGGAGGTAGGCTAGGAATATGGCTCAGTAGTAGAGTGCTTGCCTAGCACACATGAAGGCCCAGGTTTGATTCCTCAGTACCACAAACAGAAAAAGCTGGAAGTAGCACTTGGTTCAAATGGTAGAGTGCTAGCCTTGAGCAAAAGCAGCTCAGGGACAGTGCTCAGGCCCTGATTTCAAGCCCCAGGACTGGCAAATAATAATACACCAGCTGGGAAGGTGGCTCAGTGTAGAGTGCTTGCCTTGCATGCATGAGGCCCTGGGTTCCATTCCTCAGCACCACATACACAAAAAAAGCAGGAAGTTCCATTGTGGCTCAAGTGGTAGAACTCTAGCCTTGAGCTAAAGAGCTGAGGGACAGAGTCCGGGTCCCACGACCAACAACAATAAAAAAAGAAAACAATACAGGAGGTAGCTCATGCCTAGCTACTCGGGAGGCTGAAAGCTGAGGATTGAGATGGGAAGCCAGCCCAGGCAGGAAAGTCCATGAAACTCTTATCTCCAATTAATCACTAAAAAGCCAGACATGGAGCTGTAGCTCAAGCAGTAGAGTGCTAGCTGTGAGCAAAGAAAGCTCAGGTATAGGGCTCAGGCCCTGAGTTCAAGCACCAGCATTGGCAAAAAGAAAAAAAAAAAAGGAAGTGGTGTTCAGTGGTAGAGCGTTAGTCTTGAGCTGAAGAGCTCAGGGACAGTGCCTAAGCCCAGAGTTCAAGCCCCATGACCAACCAAAAAAAAAGAAAGAAAGAAAGAAAGTGGTTGTAGTTATAGGCAATAATATTTGACCAAAAGGACTTCTCTCATCCTCCATAAAAGAGCTGACAACCAGCGGGGGCACCAGTGCCTCAGGCCTCTAATCCTTGTTACTTGGGAAACTGAAATCCAAGGATCCCAGTTTGAAGCCAGTCCAATAAATCAGCAAAAAAGCTAAGGGATGATACTTAGATGCTGAGATCAAGCCCCAGTACCCTCACCAAAAGAAAAAAGAAAAACAGCTGATAATCATTTGTCAGTCACAAGCATTTATTTAATGCCTGCTCTATGCAGATATCATGCTTGATACCGCTCCCTGGGTGGGCATTTCCCATTCGTCCATCAGTTACTCACATTATCCAATACATCCAAGAAGGCTTCGTGGTCACACAACAGGAGGACACTCGAGGCACAGCCAGAGGAGGCTGGGGAAGGGTGAAGGAGAAGAATGAAAGCCACCTGGCCCATGAACATGCCCCAACATCCCCTCCTGCCAGTTCAGTGGTTTGCCCTGGCTGCCCTTCCCACAAAGGCTGCTTTCCCCCTTCCTTCTCTCCCCCTCCGTCCTTCCAGCCCCACCCCACTGACCAGGCACACACCTGCCCAGTGCAGTGGACTGCGGTTCTCCATATCCACCGCGTCTTCATTAGCACCATGCTGCAAAGAGCCACAAAAGGAAGCAACGTGGAGTTTAGTGCGAAGGTCCTCATCCAGTACCCCCTGCTGGCTTGTCAGCTTCCATGGTGAAAGAGGTAGGGGCCTTGTGGCTCCTGCCTGTAGTCCTAGCTATTCAGGAGACTGAGATCTAAAGACCGAAGTTCAGAGCTAATCCAGGCAGGAAAATCCCTGAGACTCTTATTTCCAATTAGCTATCCAAAAAGCTGGAAATTGAGCTGTGGCTTACGTGGTAGAGCACTAGCCTTGAGCACAAAAGCTCAAGGACAGTGCAGAAGGGCTGTGGTTCTTTATTATCTGTTTGACTTGGGGTGTTTTCTTTGTGTGTCTGTGCGTGCTGGGGATTGAACTCAGAGTTTTAGGCATGCTGGGCAAGTGCTTTACTAAGCTATATCCCAGCACGGGCCTCACTGTCTCATTTGGCTTTTTTACTCAAGCACTCTACTACTTGAGCCACAGCTCTACTTCTGGCTTTTTTATGATTAATTGGAGATAAAAGTCTCACAGACCTTTCTGCCCAGGCTGGCTTTGAACTGTGATCTTCCCAGCTCAACCTCCTGAATAGCTAGGATTATAGGCGTCAGCCACCAGAGCCTGGCTAGGATTGTGGCTTGGGGGGAGCCAGACTACTGGGTAAGCCTGGTCCATTCCTGGCAGACGATAGGTATACTTGAATTTCAGCCTTGGTTCCTAAACCTAGAGTGTAAGACAAAAATCAAAGGAATAAACATGTTAGGTGGAAATGACACCTGACTCCATGGCTGGTACTGTAGGCTTCTCAGGGTATTTGTGAGATTTGGCAAAGATCAGGAAGAACAGAAACAGACCTGCCACATACTCAATGACCTACAGAAGGAACTGTGCAGCGTGTACTTTAGAGACTTATTTACATGGCACACAGGCCACTTCACATGTGTTTCACCTTGTTCTTTACCATTTCAGCCATACCTCCAGTTCCAGTTTTTTGCTGGTTAATTGGAGATCGGAATCTTGAAGATTCATGTGCCCAGACTGGCTCTGAAATGAGATCTTCAAGATCTCAGCCTTCTGACTAGCTAGGATTTGGGGCGTGAGCATAGACGGTGCCTAGCACATGTACTTACACTCCTTGTCTAGAAACAGCCTCAGAATAGGCTGAGAAGGACTTTGGATTAAGTAAAGGCCTCTTCTCATCCTCACAGCATGTAGTCTCGTGTGTGGCTGGGCCAATGGTATCACTCAATAGTGAATTTGTGAGTGAAGTCCCCTCAAAGGCAGTATTCAGTGTGGTGCCTACGTAAAGAAAGTGCTAAGTAGGGGTTGGGAAGGTGGCTCAGTGGTAGAGCACTTGCCTTGCATGCATGAGGCCCTGGGTTCGATTCCTCAGCACCACATAAGCAAAATGAAAAAAGCCGGTAGTGGTGCTGTGGCTCAAGTGATAGAGTGCTAGCCTTGAGCTGAAGAGCTGAGGGACAGCGCCCAGGCCCAGAGTTCAGGCCCTATGACCGGACCCCCCCCCAAAAAAAAAAAAGAAAGTGCTAAATAAAATATTTTGTGTGAATAAATGGTTATTAGCTCTCTTACTGGGGAGGAGAAGGGTACATCTGACTAACTAATGCTCCTAAACTATAAGACCAAATTAAGATTCTGAATAGCCAGCGCTGGTGGCCCATACCTGTAATCCTAGCTACTCAGGAGGTTACGATCTGAGGATCACAGTTCAAAGCCAACTCAAGTAGAAAAAAATTGAGTGACACTGGTGGCTCAAGCCTGTAATCAGGAGACTGATATAAGATTATCAGGGTGCGAGACCATCCTAGGCAGGAAAGTCTATGAGGCTCTCCAATAAACTACTCAGAAAAAGCAAGAAGTGGTACTGTGGCTCAAGCACCAATCGAGTAAAAATGCTCAAGGATAGCACCCAGGCCCTGAGTTCAAGCTCCAGGAGTAACAAAACAACAACAACAAAAGCCTGCACCCGTGGCTCACATCTTTAATCCTAGCCACTTATCAGGCTGAGATCCGAAGTTTGAAGTTCAAAGCCAGCCTGAGAAGGAAGATCTGTGAGACTCTTATCTCCTTTTAACTAACAACAACAAAGCTGGAAGTGAAGATGTGGCTCAAGTAGACAGAGCCCAGGCCCTGAGTTCAAGTCCCAGTAATGGCACCAACATTAAAAAAAAAAAAAAGTAAAAGCAAAGAAAAAGAGCAGGGATCCACTTGCTCCTTGGGTGGAATAGTGGG